TTATTTGGTCAATTTAAACGGTAAGTAACGTTACTATGTCATGCGTGACCTGTGCGGTGCCGCTGCGCGTTCGTCAATTGCAAAGTGCTTACACAGCAGTCCATAAGAAAATGGTTAAAACTACCAGCCCTTATCGCCAGCAGTAACACTGCATCTACTGCAGGTAATAGTAACAGTTCAGATCATGGGGACATGACGTTACCCGCGGCCGCCGTCGTGGACACTAACATCCTCCCAGCCGACTCGCCGGCTTTGCCCGCCTCGCTCACGGAGCAGCCGTCTTCGTTGCCCCAAACACCGCCACCCCTCGGCGGCCCGCAAGTGCCAGAGGACCTCGGCAAAACAGAGCCTGCCCAGGTATATTTAAACAAGTTCCCAACTCGCCTGTACAGTGGGGTAAGGCGCTCATTTAGCAGCTCATGGTTTCAAAACAGAGATTGGCTGGAATTTCCTGTAAAAAAGATGCCATCTTCTGCTATGCATGAAGACATTTCGGTTCAAATACATCTAACTCAGATGCCACCACAATTGTACCAGAGTACCAAACGCTGTCTCCTGGTACTCATCTGAGTAACTCACTAAAAATGAAATACTATATGGCAGTAACACAAGAATACAGTTTAAAAGGGCAGTGATTTGTAAAATATCCATAAAGAAAAAGTAAATCTGTTTACAGTTCTGTTTCATATGGTGTTGAGAGAGGTATCCATAGATCTCTTCATTTTGCTCTCAAAGTGCACCAGATTGATGCATTTAACTTCAACATTTAAAAAAAAATCTTCCCGGGGGAGCATGCCCCCCGGACCCTCCTAGAGGAGGTTAGGTACACCCCCGACTTATAAAAATAGCTTACATGCCTTACATACATCTTATATGCCGTGAGCTGATTATCGAGCCTTCATTGTAACAGTCACACTGTGTATTTGCGTGGGGAGTGTTGCAGTAGAAAATTCCACAGTAGCGCCCGGTACCTTAATGGGAAATCCTACATATTTGAGCACCCTCTATGAAACGTCAAGCTACCCCACAGCACCCCCAAAAGAAATATCTGGCACCGCCACTGTGGGCTAAGCCCCGAATGTTTCCAGGTCCAGGAAACGCCCCTGATGCACCCCCTCTAATCTCAGATGCACCCCGAGTCATTTTGTTCTGGAACCGGGCCTGAGCTACAGTGTAGAAATGGCAATGTAAATCTTAAGTCCCGAGCTCATCCAACAATGCAACAGTTATATAAAAATAGTGCAACAAGAAACAGAGTAGAATAGAACAATGCAGATTATGTTGCACTCCAATGTGCAAGTTATGCAGATGAAGATGAAGTAAACTATATATATATATGTCAGAAAAATAAAATACATACAATAAGCCAAATAGAGAGAGAATGTTGTAAGTGACCAAGTAAATCAGGGGTGCCCAACCAGTCGATCGCGGGGAGATTCCCAGTCGATCGTGAGATGTGTCTAAAAATAGAACAACAATATTCTGTTTTATCGTTAATGTCCTATAACATAATCTTCCTGTGCCAGAATAATGCACTTGAACGCACCAAAGCTTTGTGATTGGCCGGCGTGACCCCATATGTCGGGGCGTGGCTGGTGGGCAGTGCACTAGTTCGCTAACGTTGTCCGTGTCAACAGGAGTGACAGTCCGCACACACACAAGACCGCAATTATGGCAGAAGCAAAACATATATAATTTTCACTCCGAGTGGGAGGATCATTATTTTTGTATCTATTCCAATTCAAAGTCCATCTGTCTCATCTGCAATGCGAGCGTGGCTTTATCGAAGAAGGGTAATTTAGGAGCGGCATTTCAAAACAGTGCACAAACGCTACGAGACGGAATTCCCTCCTAATTCTGCCCTACGCTCCAAAAGGGGAGGGGCCTGAAAGGACAGCTAAATGCACAGCAGTCCATTTTCACCACGCCCAACAACAAGAGCAAGGCTGCTACCAGAGCATCTTATCGTGTCAGTCACGTTCTTGCGAAACACATGAAGTCTTTCAAAGACGGCGAAGTTGTGAAAGAAGCATTCCTGGAGGCTGCCGATGCGCTTTTTGGGGACAGTAAAAATAACAGAAGCATTTCAACAGGTTTTTGATATAATAAAAACTCAAGTTAGATACTGTTATTAATCAGCTGTAAGTTTTAGTTTGTTTGAACTTATTCATTATAATTATTGTACAAAATGGTATAAGAATGTAAACTTAAATTGATTATAGTCTATTATCAATTCAGGTTAAGAAACTAGTGTTGCTTGCATCCTATTTTAAAAGGCATTTATTTTTATACTCTACTAAAATGCAACAAAAAAAGGGTTTGATTCTATTCATTTTGTCTTTTTTATTGCACTGTGGCAGCAGATTCCTGTGTAGCTTCAGATCTGAGTTGTCTTATTAGTAAGCCTCATTTATACTTTTGTAGCAACACTATGTTTATATAATGGCAAAGAAAGGGTTCAGAGTCTTTTCTTTTTGTGTCATATGTGGCAGCACTGTTCAATGTTTCTTGAAAACATTACCACTGTAGTGACGTGTGAATAAACTCCAACTCTGTATCAACAACACTGTTGTGTAACTTCAGTTAAATACTTGTATGTGTGTAGATTAGAAAGAGGTAAGATAAAGGATATGCAGTATTTTATGAAGTATTAATCGTACAAAGGTCAGTTTTATACAAGTAGAAGTGTGTATTTACCTGGTAGTAGGCTGTCAGTAATGGCTACGCCTCTCTATTTGGACTGGTAGATCTCGGCAGACTGGCCACTTTAAAAGTAGCTCTCGGTTCAAAAAAGGTTGGGCACCCCTGAAGTAAATTAATGCTAATTAACACAACGTGTACTAATTATGCTAATTGCCAAACATTATGCAAGTTAGCATCCAGCAGTTTCTATGAGCTGATACTACTACCTACTATACATAAAACTTTGATGGGGTACTCAACATTTCCAGGTTGACTAAGCTGGCAACTAGACGATAAGGCACTATTAAAAAAAGGCATACAGTTTGTACTGTTTAACAAATAAATGAGTGAAATACCTTCTTCTGTTCTGGAGTCAGCATTCTCCACTGCCCGGCGACCTTCCTGATGATTTCAGATGGTTTGATACCTGAAGGCAACAATTGTAAATGTGATCATTAGACTCTCAGACTGATCAAGTCCAGCCGTTTGCTCTGAGATAACATTTGTATTTGTCTTTATGAAGCTTCCTTCACACTGCTTGTTGTGCCAAGAGCCGCTAGTTTGTGAAATCAATAACTTAGGCTGCCTTTTTTTTTTTTAAAGTAGCAAGTGTTGCAGATTTACCTGGGAAGTGTCTGATTATGTCTGGCCGCTGTTGGAAAATATATCTCAGGTATCCGTTTCCTGGCTTCTTTGGCGGTCCGCTGGCCTGAGAGCTCAGATATTTCACTGGAGTGATGTATGTCGCTGAGAGGACACTGGAGCACCTACAGCATGAGCCAAACACACAAACATAAATATAATGCAATGCAGAAAACATTGTAGCACACATTTGTTTTAACAGAGGGAACTCTTATCCAAACTCCATTCACAAATCTGACCATTTAGTGGTACTTCAATGGTGACTAGTCCGGAGTAACCTAGTAAGGTACCACAGTACAGTAAACACTTTTATTTAAATTACAGTAAATGACAGATAAAGAAGTCTCCTTAGGCCTCTGGAAGTAGTGAGGGATGAAACATCTTTTTACATTAGTTCTTGACATTTCTAAGACTTATTTGAATTAAGTTAAATAATTGCTCAAAGAAATTAAACTATTCAAGCAATATCTTGTTTATTTAAATACTGTCAATCATGCACAACCCGCTAAATATTTACAAAACTTCATCTTTTAAGATCTGCGCAGCTTTCCACTTTTTGTAAAATACTGCAAATATTTTATTAGGAGTATTATGTCATATTATATATTATTATATTGAATAATTATTTCTCTATTTTAATGTTGTAATAGTTTTTATAATAGTCTTATTTTGTGGTGGTAAACTTACAATGATATCTTCTTTAACTGCATGTATGTATGCACCATATACACCAAGGCAAATTGCTCGTATGTGTTAATAAACTCGTTTCTGATGGTGATCTGTGTTAAAGGCATTGACTCATACTCTATTAGAAAAACACCCGACAGCATTAAACTGCAAGAGGATTAAAATGGGGTCAGAAGTTCAAACTCCTCTAGCGCTCACCTAAACACACGTGCTTTACTTTCGATGTAATACATATATTATGAATGTTGCTTACTAGCTGTTATTCCTTTTTATCACACAAAGGCCCTAAATGCTTGTAAAATACATCCAAAAGTGTCTGAATCAATAACGATATTAGTTATGACTTAGTAACTTAAGATGATAAAGTATTTTGTATTTACCAGGAGCATATGCTAGTCATAAATCCAAAACACATTTCAGTAAAAGTATCCAAAGTGATTTAATGACCTTAACATGCTTACAGCCCAAATGAAAGCTAAATCTAGCCTTTGCTTCGACTTGAGCTAATGCCAGCTAACACAGTAAAGTGACTTCAGGATAGCTACCTTGCCAGAGTGCTTGTGCAGGAGAACACACTGAAGGACTTAGCCAGCCAGCTAGCACCTGCAGTCATTAAGCCGAACGGAGCCATGTTGCTGTCAAGGATGTTACGCTAATGAATGGAAGACACACGTATTGTCCCTAAAAAGCAGCGTGTTATTATATTAACACATTCGTTTTTAATTGTAGCCGAGCGTCTTCCTTTCCTCCTTGTTGACATGCATGGACTACAAAAGGCGCCTTCTGTCGCCCCGGTGGATTGTGGGAAAGGTCAAAGTAATTCAGCCGGATGTGGATATGATGTGCAGCATGTAGCAGCTCCGACGATGTTCTATAATAAGGAACCCTTTCCTTTCCTAGTGCATGCGACAGCGTGGTTTTAAATATGAATACCTATTTACAGACTCTTAGGAAGCCTAATTATCTTTACACTTTGCCAGAGATGGAAGAAGTACTCAGATATTGTACTTGAGTAAGAGTAACAATACTACATCGTAAAAGTACTTTGTTAGAAGTAAAAGTCTTGCATTCAAAATTGTACTCAAGTAAAAGCACAAAAGTGTTGAAAAAATATACTCAAGTACAAAAAGTCAAGCTACTAATTTGTCAGTATTTCCCATATATGATTTCAAAATATTACATTTTAGTATTATAATTACAGTATTATGTATTAAGTCAATATTGCACTTGGTAAAGGTGGGGAATATTTAAATGACTAGATATACCCCTGGATATAGCTTAACCCAGTGTTTAACCTAGGGGCCCCGACCCCCGGGGGGCTGCCAGGGGGGTCACGCAAAGTTTGAGGGAAAGGGGGATTTAAAAAAAAATTAAAGTTACATTTATTTAATTTATTTTTTAGATGTTATTAATAACTGCATATCTATCAATCTATGTGTCCTTTGATGCCAATCTTTTAATATTTTTTGTTTTTAAATCACACGGACTGCGCTTCAAGCCAATCAGAATCGAGCTGCCGCTATTGAGAGTGAAACTGAGTATCTGCTCAGTTTTTGGAGCAAGTGAATATTTCGCTCTGCAGCTGGATGAGAGCACGGATGTAGCAAATGTCGCAGAATTGCTTGCATAGCCTACATCAGATTTATTTCAGAAGACAACTTTGTTGAGGAAATATTATTTTGCAAAGCACTGGAAGGTAGGACCACATGAAGAGACATTTTCCAAGTTTTAGACGAGTACATCATCTCAAATGGACTTGACTGGTCTCGTTGTGTGGGTGTGTGTTCAGATGGGCCAGTGGGGCTACGACAGGCAAAAAAAGTGGAGTGACAGCTTTGATCAGGCGGAAGGCCCCACATGTAGTGGCAACGCACTGCATGCTCCATCGCGAGGCACTTGTTGCTAAACGTATTTTGTGTAACGAGATGGGCACAAAGTTTGAGGGGTTACTGCTCCACTCCAACGTACGCTGGCTTTCCTGTGGGGCGGTGCTGAATTGTGTTTTTGAACTGCGAAGGGAGATCAGTGAAGTCCTCTCTTCTGAAAATCATCAACTGGCTGGCCGTTTTTCAGATGCCTCATGGCTCCGGAAACTTGCATACTGTTGCACTCCCTCAGTACTGGCTGTATGTCAAAAAAGGCTATCCCGCACTGGCTGAGAGGGCTCTCAAATCCTTTCTTCCATTTGCCACCACATACCTCTGCGAGTCTGGCTTTTCTACATTGAAGGTATTGAAAACAAAGCACAGAGGACGTTTGCAAGTGGACAATGACAAACCTAAAACCTAGGATTGATAAACTGTGTAGGAGCCACCAAGCCCACCCCTCCCACCATATTACTGTTCAAAATTATATAATATTATAAAGACAGAAATCACTTTTAAAATTACTTTAAAATATGTTTACTGTTGATATTAATGTTTAACAGTGTGTTAAGAATGTTTATAACAGAAGACACAATGAATGTAATGAATGACAAACAAAAGATAAATACAAACAATTTTTTGAAGAATAACTGATTATTAATTATTAATACAAATATATATTAAGAAAATGTATTAAGCTGTATGATTAATTTGTCATATTATCCATCATAAAGTAATACAAAAAATGGCAACAGGAGGGTCCCCGCCAGAGGTGCTATATAAGTTTGGGAATCCCTGGCTTAACCTATAATAGTAGATAATGATTTATTGCTTGATTTATATTCTATATTATGAATCCATACCTGGAAAGTACAAGTTTTCTACAAAGAAAAGTGAAAAATGTAACATAACATGAAAATACTCAATTGAAATACAAGTACCTCAAAATTGTACTTAAGTAAAGCACTTGGGTAAATGTATTTATATTAGTAACTTTCTACCACTGCATTCTGTTAATCTTATTATCATTATGTTTATCTTGTCCTATTTCCTTGCAGCATTATTTCTAATGGACTATTTAGTCTTTTTCTTTTATGTTCAAATGATTGTATGCAGAGACGTGCACACATAGACTCTAGGTAGTGCTTGAGCACCTGCCCGTTTTGCCCTCTGGACAGCAATGTGCCCTTTTGAAAGTTCGTTTTTTTTTTTTTTTTACAGTGTACTGTATTTGGCTCATGGTAACATTGATCAATTCTGGATTAAAAGCTTCTAATATATACAACAATGCCCCAAATGCGCGTTGTAATTTTGTCAGACATCCCCACACGTGCCCCTTGGCACTAGAGATGGGCGAGTCATGATTCATCCGGATCATTAACCCGGATCCTAGTAATGAGCCGGTCGTGACGAGTCTCCCTCTCGATTAACCCGAGTCCTTTGAGTCCTACACCTGATAAAACTATAAATTGCGTCACTCTTTACTCTCTTTATAACGTGTACAATCACATTACAACGTTGTTGTATCCAGAGATCCAGCAGACTCGTCGCCATGCACGAATCAACAGCAAATTCAGCCCCTCCTCCGGCTCCCGCGAGAGTCCCGTGAGCCGTGAGTGAGCCGTGAGTCGTTGGACTCGCGGGAGCCGTGAGTGAGCCGTGAGCCGTGAGTGAGCCGTGAGTCCGCAAATCTCTGAGTCTGCTGCGACTCGTCGAGGGAGCCGTGGGACTCGCGGGAGCCGTGCGAGCCGGAGGAGGGGCTGAGTCTGCTGTAGATTCGTGCATGGGGACGAGTCTGCTGGATCTCTGGATCTGCTGCCTGCTATAGTTTACGGCTCTGAGTCCTCGTAGGCTACTGGTCTCTCTCGATCATTGACCTGGATTCACGGATCCCGCGATTTTTCCGGCTCTAAATTAAGTTTCAGTGTAGACTTCTAACAAAATGGTCATGTTGTGCAACAGTCTCCTGTAATAATATCTGCATTTCCAATAAGGATCTTACTTGGAAACTCGTTTATTTTGAACATGGCACACAAAAAGAAACAAATGATAGAAAATTGCAAAACAGTTAGAATATATAAAATGTAATTATACAATTATTATTATTATTATTATTATTATTATTATTATTAAATGAAAACACAATTGTGCAAAATTAGCTTAAGTACAGGAACATATTAAAATAACTATATACATATAATGCAAAACACTTATTTTTTAAAATGCACACACACACACATGTTTTATTAAAGCAAAAGACACTGTGTAGCGGAGGTTAATGTAACGTTAGTTTAATATGCTGGTTAAATGCAACAACTTTTCGGTTTCACCGGTAGGATTTCTACGGTCTTGGTCATGCTGACTCATATGACTCAAATGACTCAAATGACTCGTATGATCCGGATCTCTTCAATGATTGACTCAGAAGACTCCGAGTCCATAAAATGATCCGGATTTGCCATCTCTACTTGGCACTCCCATACGTGCTCTGGCTGCAGCCCCTCCCTTCCCTGCTCTCAACGTGAACGCGCAGCGCGCAGAGTTGACAGTCAGACAGGCCACGGCGGGTGTGTGGTGCAGCAGCACGCAGCAACACGATTAAAAGTGCCCTAGTGACGACCAAGTAAGTAACCACCAGGTAACAAATACAACGAGTGTATTGTTTAATCCCCTAAATCAGATGCCAAACTAAACTATACAGGGTTCGTACGGTCATTGAAAACCTGGAAAAGTCATGGAACTTCAAAATGCAAATTCCAGGCCCTGGAAAAGTTATGGAAAACAATATTTTTCCCAAAGTTTTGGAAAAGTCATGGAAATGTAACAAGTTGCGTCAAATATAATTTACATTTGATCTAATCGCCGAAATAATCTGCGGTCGCGAGCTGTTATGTGCCATCATGACGCGCATGGTGTTATTTTTTAATATATGAAGCGCGAGCTGTGTGCTCGAGTCTTCTTGCCTGTCGGGCCGGCTGAACTCTGCTGCTCCGGGATGAGGGTCAGCTACATTATCTACGGTGTGTTCGTTAACTGTGCGGAGTCACTGTGGCACAGACTGAGCCGCTGGTGAACAGCTGTTAGAACGGGCCGTTCAGGTGTTCAGAGCAGAGCGGCAGAGCGTGATGTGAACTGAAAAGTTCGCTGTTCTGTCGCAATATCATTGTCACTATCTGCTAACGTTAGCTTTAGCCTTCGTTTTCTAATAGTTTTTTTCATAGGCTATAAACAGAGGTGGTATAAGTATAGAGATTGTTGGCTACTAGAGTAAAAGTAGAAGTATACTCAGATCTTGTACTTTAGTAGAAGTACTCAGATCTTGTACTTAATAAAAGTAGAAGTACTCAGATCTTGTACTTGAGTAAAAGTAGAAGTACTCAGATCTTGTACTTAAGTAAAAGTAGAAGTACCAGAGTGTAGGAATACTCTGTTACAGTAAAAATCCTGCATTCAAAATGTTCCTCAAGTGAAAGTAGAAAAGTATTATAAAAATACTAAGAGGCATGAAAATACATTTTCAAAAAACTCAACAGTGCTGCCAAAATTATAAACTGACTGCTACACAATTAAAATAAATGCTTTTATATATTTCTATTAGATGTAACTCTTTAGCGTTTCTGTTATTATTACCTGCTGCTTTAGTTGTTCTGACTGCTAAAATCCTCTGTTATTCCTAATTTTAAAGCCGATATTCCGTGGGGTCGGGGGGCTCGGATCCTTGTCACCTTTTTCATACCTGATGAGTTTGCATCCCTGACTACAGTTGCTTTAGCGTGTAGAAGCTAGTAAGCCTACTATTTGATTTGTTTTAGATAGGCATCTGCATCAGACATGCATCATATGGTTATTGAAATAAATATATATGCAATTACGACATACAAGATGTGCCTTTAATACATCTCACACTGCTAAGGCAGCCGGCGGTTCCACCAGGGGCGTCAATCCCGGGGGGGGGGGGGGGGGGGG